AAGTTAATTGACGTTTTACGAAACGATTTATAAAAGAACTTTAATTAATTTTCATTTAATATTTTATTTTTATGTAAGATTTATCGTTTTATATCATTTATAATAATAACACTTACAAAATTGATAAAAGAGCACGTCAGATTCTTTATGCTCTCTTAACATTGTCTACAAAAAATCGTTATTCCAAAAAGAGAATTGAACAAATGGGTGATTTCTGATTTCGTTGAGAATTCATTGACAACTGTTTTTATCGTTAAAAGAAATATTACTTTCAACGTCGGAAGTAAATCGTTATCGACGATGGTCGACAAAAATGATGTTTTGTCCTATAAAAAAGATCTTACGAGTAGTCGTTTATTTATCTAATTTGAGGAAAATTGTTGCATTGAGGCCTCTGTACATTTGGCGCATCGTTAGCGTTAATATTATTTTTTGGAATTATCAATTAATTTTTATGTGTGTGCATTAGTTTCTTTTCTTTTGAAATCGTCGTTAAAAGTGTATTTTAATGGAAAAGTTATGTATTTTATGCTTATAATTTCCTCGCAATTGAAATGAAAAATTTTTATATGGTATATATATATATATTAGGTGTAGTAAAAAGAAATCCATTATTTTTCCATTCAATTTCATGCAAAAATAATGGATTTCTTTTTACTACACCTAATATATACACATACATACATATATAACGATGACAAAAATATTTCTGTTAGCATAATAACAATGGAGATTTATCAATTAATATTCAGTGACAGAAAAAAAATTACAAGAAAATGTGAAATATTTCTAAAACGGCTACATAAAATAGACATCTAAATTGCACGAATAATTATAGATTGTGCCTCAACAATAACTATCATAATAACAACAAATTCCGATAATATCGTGAGTAATAATTATTTTAAGCCTTGTGCTTTAACGACTGTTACATAACGGTATATTGCTCTTCGAAAGACAAAGTTTAAATATATAATTAAATATATAATTGCGTCCAAATTATATAAATTTAAAGCATTAAAATATGATATTTTAAATATATCTAATAATCTCAGCTGACGATTTAGCAGAGATAATATTCGCTTTAGTCTGATAATTATTATGTAATAGTGCAATTCTTAAAATCCGCAAACTAGTATATATAAGTCTGTATCATCTTTTAGCTGTTAGACTCCTCAATTTGGCGTATTCTCAAAAAGCTAAAAAATGAATACTTATTCCGGAGAATATTTGGTTTATATAATTATATAATTAATATATATAAGAAATTAGTTATTTAATACTGCAGATAAAAATAAAAAGAACACAATAATTATTTATTGATATTTAGTGATATTTAATATCTAATTAGAAGTAAAATAATCGGAAAACGTCGATGCAGTACTCCGATTGTTTATTGAATGGTTTTTTGTAAAAAAAATATAGGCCTATTGATAAAACACCATAATTATAAATAACTTATAAAGAAATTATTAGTATCAAATAATTAGAATCATTTAGATCAATTGATAAAGATTAAAGTTATATATTTTATAAAGATTTTGAAAAATAATTTTTGATTTATAGAAAAAAATATTTCATTTGATAAACTATCAAAATTCAAAACGATGAAATCGTTATTTTTCCAACATGCGCCTTCTTTTTCAATAATTACTTTCTCAATAAAAATTATTAATCACTGTACGATTAATCGTATCATTACTCGCTCTGTAATTTTCTATCACATCCACCTCAAACGCATCGTAGTTTCAATCTGATGGATACCTAGTAAGAATCTTGATTCTTCATTTTTCTTCCATCTTCTTAGGACAAATCTTATTTATAGAATTGATCATAAATTTCGTTTATATGAACGAAATTTTCTTCGACTTGTCAGCAATCGCAGTTCTCGAAAAATATTCGTAGAATCGATATTTCTCAGTCGCCAAAAATTCAATTAAGATCCAGTATCCTTATATAGTTTATTCGTTCGACATGAGCTGCACGCTGTCGTCGGCCGATCGAAGTCGGCGAACTTCTGACAAGGAACGAATCGGTGTCGGGTGTAATAACGAGAAGGGATGAGAGTGCCGATCTAAGATAAAAAGCATATGGAAATAATTTTGAAGCGTTTTAAATGTATCAATCATTATACAGACAATTTTTCATTTATAGAACAATTTATATATGATGTGTAAAATATAATATAATATACACATAGATACTCTCTAAAATTTTTAAAGTGGATCTCACTCTGAAGAGTGAAATCACTTTCATTTTCAAAAATTGAAAATTGAAACCATTCTTTTTTAAGATTGAATTTTGAAAGTTGAATTTTTACTCTTTTAGAATAAGCTTTCACTTCAAAGAATTTAGACAGTTATACATTTATTTATTATTGTATGTTTATAATTTATACATAATTATGTAATTATATATTATTTATAAATAATCAATATGTGTAGTTATACATATATTATCATATACTCCTTTATTGATTAAATTTTATCAGCAGGGTAGAAAGCTACAACTTCCGATGATCGCCCACTTTCAGGAACCTTAATTTAATCAGTTTAAAAGTGGAAAAAGGCAATATATACATACATTGATATGTATGCGTGCGTGCGTGCACGCGCGCGCGCGCGCGCGCGCGTGTGTGTGTGTGTGTGTGTGTGTGTGTGTGTGTGTGTGTGTAGAAGAGAGAGAGAAAGATATCGCGCGTGTCTAAAGTCTACAGTGCAATGTCAAGGTTGGACATAAGTGTCTCTCATGAATCGATTTACTGAAACTCTGATCTATATTTTCATAATATCATGTCGGTATAATTTCACCTAGACATGCAAACACTTCCATCTCTCTTTCTTCGATTTGATTAAACAATATCATTTTCATATTGTCTTCTTATATGATTTATGCCCGGGAAAAAATGTTATATAATGGACACACTATACATATATATAATTATATATAATTTTATATAATTATATTTAATTATATATGAAACATTTTTTTCCATGTGATCACCAAACATTATTAAAAGAAAGAAAGAAACAAATTTTCTAGTTATAAATGTATAAATATGTATAAATAAATAAATAGTAATTTTCCATCCAGAAGTCTTTTAATTTGTTGTTAACTATTAAAAGTTAGTTAATTTTTTAATTTGTAATTTTTTAAGTGAGTTAACATGTTATATTCTTAATATCTTTTTATCGTAAAATTCTCTTACTTTTAATATCTCTTACTTTTAATAAATTGACATTGAATAATAATTTTATATAAAATAATATGTGATTCATAATTATATTATATACAAAAATATTAATTTAATAGAAAAGCAAACATTTTAGTTAAATAAATATTCGAATAATAAATTTCTATTAATTTTTAATTTAATTTAGCCATAGTTTTTCTTTACATAAATTATTCTTAAAGTGAATGTCCATTGTATACCCTAAATATCCTCGTTAAAATTCTTACCTCTAATATCAGTCGTCGTCTCGCTTCTGGAGAGCTCATGGTCGTTACCACGATGCGAGGGTGTCTTTGACGGGCTCTTTACTAGGAGTGTCGCATCATTCTTGCCTGGGGTGGTACTTTCATCCTGATTGGGGAACTGGAAGGCCGTGGAATTGGGCCACGAAGCCGGGGGTGGACTGCGTACCAGGTGCTCATGTACCTGTGCTAGTGTTAGCGGATCCGCGTCACCATATTCCTGAAAATATATATCTTTTTATGTTTCTTTTAGATATGTTTAAAAAGAAGTAGAAAATTGCTTCTTTCAAAAAGTGTATAAATCAAAAACGCGCTTCTTTCTCTTTTTTTTTCAGAAAAGTTGATTCGTTTTTAATAAATTTTTATACTCAAATAATTATGCACAAAAATTATTCAATAATTTATTTTTATTTAAATTCTGCTTTTAAATTGTAAGTACAAAACATACAATAATTTTTTTATTTATTAAAACTTTCGAAGATTATTGAAGGAATATTTAACTAATATATGTGTACACATAAAAAATTAATAATTCTGAAAAATTGATAATATTATTTACTTTAGATCATTTGGAGTAGTTATAAAAAATTTACTTTTATCTCTAAAAGTCATAATGATTAAAAAAAAACTATTATTATAGTGTATATAGAAATGGATCTGTAATATTTTGTTAAATTCGCAAAAGTTTAATTCGGGATCTCACCTGCGACATTAGAATTGCATCATCGGACTCGGACTCCTCGATCGATTCCACGAGGCTCTCTCGGCTTGCTAATACCTGCATATAATTAGAGAAAATTTGCACAATTACGTCAATATATATTACACAGCAAAATCGTGTAAAGCACTATTAAGAAATAAAAGAAGTTCATTAGCAATTCAATTTTCTTTCTACAGTTGGAAAAAATTTAAATAATCAATCACAAAAATTAACCAAAGAAATAAATTTTTTTATGTAAATTAATTATTAAATTTTTAAATTCTAAAATACTACCTTTTGTAGAAATCAAGAATATATATTTTTCAAAATTAGAGTAAAGTAATGTTACAAAGGTTTGAATCATTTAGAATTTCAGCAATTCGCAAATTGTTCAGGATTGAAAGATTTCATAAAAATTGTCTTTTTTGAGGCAATGTAATGATCAGGCCGAACCTGTAGAAAGGGGTTATCCTGACGACTTAGCCTGAGTGCCTCCATGTCCTGATCAATGTTACGCGTTCTACCGGGTGTCAGGGTCAGAATTGAGTGCGAGGGTGACGGCTGACAGGAGACAACGACGTCCACTGCTGTCACACTCAAGGTCGATGGAATTCGCGACATTGTGCTGTCATTCTCCGAGCCGTTTCGACGACAAGCGTTAGTAATAATTGCTGTAAGCAATATTGCTTGTAATATCGATCAAGTATGCAAATGCCTTCATTAACTCGATATAAAAATCTCGCAATAAATGTATATAATTTATTATCTGAAATATTATTAATTGAATAGATGGAATGTTCGCAATTGCGCATAATTTATTAGATGGATTTTTATCTTGCTAATTATATTTAAAGAAACAAATTGAAATAATGTAAGTGACCTTCGAAGTAAATGCCATTAATTAACCTTTTACACTTTTAATTAATAAGTTGCGTGTGAAAAGGTAAATATCATGGAATACTTATTTAATTCCTATTAAAATTCTTTAACGAGATATCAATGTTTAAAAAAACATGCACTATTGCAACATGAACTATTGCATTTTTTATCAGAGTTTTTGTCCAATAAAATATATTTTTTTAACATCTTAAATTTTAGTTTAATAAATAATGATAATAAATTAATAATCGATAAGAAATCAAAAGCTCCACAGATTTTCTGTGTTACTAAAGAATACTTAGAGATATATTCAAGCTAAGAAATTAAAGCTAAAATATTTTATAAAAGATCAGTGATATATCTCACCAGGAGTCTCCACCCTGGGCGTTCGTTCCATCTCTTCGTCTTCGTTAATCTTCATCCCTACCGCCAGTTTTTTCGATTTAAACAGATTCGTTAAGAAAGCTGTTCCTTTGCGTTTCACCCGATCATATCTGTATGCGCTTTCGAACGACACGTGTATCATAATTCGTCTGTAAATATAACGTAGTGTAAATAATTACAGCATCGTGTAATTTTTAATTTAAAATGCTATCTTAATACATCTTCGGACGATATATGTATCATTAAAATAATAATTCTAATAATTCATAATTCATTTGTCGTATAACAAATTTTTCGAGCGTATTAATTGGCTGTAGGATAAAGAAGTTGTTGGATACTTCTATCCTGTACTCAATCAACAGGCTTCAAAAATTGTCGTATGATGAAATGTAATACTAGTTTTATTCCAGCCTTTATCATGAAATTATAAATATAATGGGAATTGAATAATTATCAATTTGTAACGTTATATATAGAATTGTGCACAAAATTGTAGAAAATTTGTTTAAACAAATTGTTTTACTAATCCGACATAGATTTAATAAAAAATACCAGTATAATAAAATATGTGTATTATGAATGTCTATGAATCGACAGAAAATAAATGTGAAATCAATCCAACAGTCATATAGTCAAAGAGTTAATTTGCATATTGTTCTCAAGTTGATACAAAGAACTGAATAATAACTCATTGTAAATTGTACATTGAAAAAAAATATAGACAATTTTAATAAATATTTAGTTGAATGCTGTCAACTAAATATTTGTTAAATATAAAGATATATTTATTTGATACAAGAAATGTTAATTTAATTTAATAATCAATTTTTTTTACTGAACAAATATTCATTTATTGTAAGTAAATATTTAGTTGGCAGTATTGAACTAAATATTTATTAAAATTGATTATATTTTTTTCTCAGTGTAATGTAATAATTTTATATTGCAACAATACGTCAGTAAATGATAAGCGATAGATGTGACAACTTACATTATTTTCACTTTTTAACCCATTAATCGCCGCAATTAAGCACCCTCATAACGATTAAGCATCACTTCCGAGAATTTTTATCGAAAAAAGTTCAACCTTATAAATATACATATAAATATACACATTTATCAAAAACTAATGTGAGATAATGATAATAAACAAACCGTATCGGGACGCACTTTCAAGTAAAAACTCGATGGAATTGAAATCGTTGTCAAATTTGCAAGCAACATCGGATTTACAATCCGAATAGCAGCATACTGCCAACTGCAGCTGCGGAAGGGTGTGCACCTACTCCTGTGCAAGAACTCGCGCAGCTGCAGTTGCTAGCAAGTAGACAGAGCTTGCGTGTGACAGGGGTGGATAAGAAGGGGAAGATGGTGAAAAAGATGAGAGCGACGAAGTCCTTAAAGAACGAAGCAAAGAGTGACGTTATTTTCTCTTTTTTTTGTTTAATAGACATCTTTAAGACTCACAACTATTTACTTAATTAGTAAGACATATGATTATTTAAATTAAAGGATTGAGATGGACTTTATGAAGTTTGAATTTTTAAATTAGAAATATAAAACGCGTCACACGAATTCAATTTACACAATTGAGAAAATATCCAAATTATGAAAGTATAGATAAGTTACAGATACTTTATTAAAAATTTCAAGATCATATATTATCTATCACATAATTGTAATATGATAACATTAATGATTGAATTTTAAAAAATGTACAATAAATTGAACATTTTTAATCGCTCTTTAAGGAAAATATAAAAGATCTTCTCTTACATGAATCTGTATATATAGTTAGTAGAAAACGAAAAATTTCTCAAATGCATAGAGAGATTCGAAAGATGATATCAAATCTTGTAGATTAGTTTTTAGAATTCGTAAACCAATTATATATAGGGGTGATTGAAGAAGACGGGTACTTTTCCAGGAGTGCGTCGTGTCGTTCGATCGATCGCACAAGAGAGACTCTGCTGCACAAGGGGTGGTTACAATATATGCTACAGTCAGTCCCACGTATATAATGTGATCAGTACTAATAAAAAATTTAATAAAATAATAAAATTACGATATGTCTCTTCTCATCTTTCCCGATAATTAACAAATTATAAGCATGTATCGATGACGGATGTATGATATAT